GAAAGCCTGTAACTGCATATCACCACCAGTTATGAACAAATTTAAGAAATAACCTATATTAATAATTCATCAGAGCTTCTATTACTTTTCTCATTGCAGTTCACATTTGCATTTGACCTACCTTTGTGATAAAAGTACACTCAGCTGCGATTTGTCAAGGAAACACAGACAATTCCTCATGACTTAGAAATACTGCAAACTTACCATGTGTTTAGTCTGATTGGTTAAATTTGCTGTCATGTGATTAAGATCTGCATATCTGCTGAGGAATAATTTTGTATTATTGTTATTATTATTCAATATTAGGGTTTGAACTGAGGGCCTGCTAGGGCTTGCTGGGCAAGTGCTCTACCACTTGAGCCACACTTCTAGCCCTAAGAATTGGTTTTGGAAGTGGGGGCTGGGGTACGTCTGAACTGCTTGTGTGGCTTCTTGCTTTGCAGGGACGGTCATTCATTTACACGTTCAGCAGAGCTGGGCACACAGCGCGTGTATTTTCTAATCACGTCAAGGGGAATGAGGGAAATGTAGTCTGACACTGAGAAATACTTTTGCTATCAAACATCCAGTCTGTAGTCACTGAAAATATTACCACTGTAGACACCGTCATTCTCAAAATGCCTGTGTGAATGAATTCATAGAGGGATTGAGTAACGGGTGTTTGGGGATCATCGGGGGATCCAGAGAATAGTGATTTCTCATTTTTATGGCTGAGAAGTCAGAGAAGTTCCTCTGAGAAAATCAATCTCCTCTCCCTCTCTCTCCCCCCTCCCATTATGTGTGTGTGTGTGTGTGTGTGTGTGTGTGTGTGTGTGTGTAGCTTTGTGGGAGTGAGGATTCACCAATGAGAAGGTCCTTGAGGATGATCTAAGCCCTCTTCAGAGACCCCATGGTAAAGTACAGGTATTTCAGAATATCTGGATGTTATGTAAACAAGGGAATGGAACAGGAGGAAACAAAAGGAAAGGTATCATAGGACAATTGAGATTCCTCAAAATTAAATTCTAAGACCCTGAAGCAGGAGGCAGAATATTTACTAATTCCCAGCTCTGCTAGAATATTGTTCCTGGAATGAAATCAGACTGTAAAAAAGGCCAGATTTTCAGAGGGAGAAGCATGTAAACCGAGATTAAGCACAGGAGCAGAGAGACAGGTGCATGGGAATTAAAGACAAAAAATGAAATGGGATGATAAGTCGGTGAAGAGCAGCTTACTGTGTGTTCAACAGCAAATGGCAGGTAACCAAGGCAAAGAAAAGGGAGGGAAGGGCTACTCCTGACCAGGATGCTAAGAACTGCTATAGTCCACAGGCTCCAGGCCATGGCCTTGTCATTGTCCTCCAAGTGGACACAGCAGCGACCAGCACACATGAGAGGTCCCACCAATGTAATTCCAGCCGAGTCAACACTCAACTACGAACTCTTGCTTCAGTCCATTTTCCAAATGGAAAATAAACAACGCAAATGAAGAAACAAAAACGCCCATATTTGACTGAATAAAAAGGTAAATCTGAGGCAGTTCTCAAGCATGGTAATAATGCAGATGGCCTTGAAGTCACTACTGGTATCTTAAACAGCAGTACATACCATGGTCAAGTTTTATTACTAATGAATTTTCCTCCATGCTTTTCCTGGCATATGCAAACCCCTTCCAGATTAGGTAACATGTTAGCAACTTAACTTTTTCTACATTATATAATCACACTTGATTAAACTGGAAAAAAATGATAAATTCTCCATTCCTTTTGTTCTCCCAACTTATGTTAACTTGACCTAAATTTGTTTCAAAGTATTTTGTAATGAAATGTACAATGTTTAGAAATGAGCAATGCAATGGTGATGTTTTCCCATCATGTAACATTCCAATAAAGGTGCTGTTTTTTTTAAAATATTCTCTACCCATTGTCCCAGTTCTTTTCCTAAGATGAAACAGAAATTTTATTAACATGAAAAGGAATACTAGGTTGACAGAATCTGTGAAAACAGAGGAAAACCTTGCTCAATTCCTACCTAATCATCAGGGCTTGATAGGTTACGTGTGTGGAAGAAAGGGAATAAGAATTTGAAAAAATCAAGCAAATTAATGGTATCTTCATGAAGAAAAACTATCAGGGGAAAATATGAACCGTGAAGAAAGACAAAAGCACCTTCATAATTATGAACTTTTATTTTTTTTTAATTTACTATGCCAACATTTTCAAGAGACTTTACATCTGGGTTTGTATAATTCATTTTACAGGCAAATTCTAATATACAGTATGTACTCTGAACTGGCTTCTCAAATCCATGGGGAAAACACCACTGATACTATTTGTTTATAATCAGTCATGACACAAAGACACCAGTCATGACATAGATTTTCAATTCTCTAGGCCAGTATTTTCTTAGGGCAATGCTTTACACCACAGCCAAAGGCAGAGGAAGCTCTTTCCAACAGACAAATATCTTTAATTAGTAACATAATTATAGACTGGTTGCTCACTGTCATCGCCACTGATCCAAATGTACTCTTCTCGCAGGTTGCTACAGCAGGAAAATCAAAGGGCTATGTGGGGTGGGGAAGGAGAGAGGGAAATAATAGAAAGTATAATTTCAAGCATCAAGAAAAACAGCAAGGCTGTTAGCCCTGAGGACAAACCTGTGCTACCGTGATCATTAATTTTCAAATGTGTACATAAGCATGCAAACATAACTACCCAAATTAACTTAGCAATGTGAAACCTGATGTGTTAAGATGGAGAGAGAGGGCGCTGCTGACAGGGTAGCAGTCCAACTGGGCTTGGGTACACAAGCCTGTGTGGTAACTGCAAAGTGCTTTCCCCGGTGGCCTGGAGCCCAGGAAGCCAGCAGGTCAACCCTGCTGGGAATCCCAGGCACAAATGGGTCTGGATTACTGCCCATCATCACAGGAACGTGGGGGAAGTGACAGCTGTAGCAGGTCACAGACTCTCTGAGTGCACCAAGTAGAACAAATACTACAGGGGACAATGGAAGATTCAAAGAAAACTTAGTGCTTTCATGGGAAAAGTGGCATGCTGGGGATAGAACTCTGTGAATGGTGAACTTGTATCTTCAAATAGCAACAAATTACAGAGAATTATTCCACGAAACTAAGCCACACCCAAGAGGAGGCATTTTCAATATTTCAGGCACAGCTCCAAGCAATTAAGCTCATTTAAAGTGCAAATCTGCTATTTTCTTTCATAGACTTTTTTTTTAAAACTGGTTTAAAATAGTAAGATCCCTATAATATCTACACAATGAATAGTAGTCTATAGGCTTGAAAATATTGCACAAAGAAAAAAGAGACTCCAAAAGGAAAATGTTCAATGGTCTGTTATTTAGAAAACATTCGAAATATATAGAGCTCTCTAATCCCTGGTTTGATGTTTGTATTTCAAAATAATCTATACTTATACTACTAAACTCCTTAGGGAAAGCTTCCTTTAAAATACTGCTAAGCATCCCACCAGTAGCCAAATGTTTAATTCTGCCTTCTTGTCCAATTTTCTCTCTCACCAATGTGAAACTTAACCAACTGCATTCACGTTCCCCCTCACGATTTAGAATTCATACATTTCCACCACCTGTGCTGACACCACAGGAATGAGGAGAACAAGGAGCCTAAAATTCTTGTGGGTAAGGATGTGGTACAACGTTTGTTAGGCAGATGGAGCCAAATCGGAGAAGGTACGCTCTGGGTGACACACAGCTCCACCTGCACTTCCCCTTCCTACTTCTTCACATTTACTAAGGAGCACACGTTTTATGCAGTAAATACTTGATGTTGTCCATGGAAGCATCCTAGGTATGTTTTCTCTTAAATTGTATTCAGGAGCGGATCTTCTGCCAAGGTTAAGGCTCAGCAAAGGTACAAAGAAGCTAAACTGATGGGTTAATATTTCTGCCAATTGGTCAGGGAAGAAACAAAAACAAAACACCAAATAATTGGAGTGAATATTTTTACATAGTAGAAAATAAGAATATTTTTCTCAGACCAGGAGGTTAAAACATAAGTTAAAAATTGAAAATCATTTCCCCTAAAGGTTAAAAAACAACCTGTTAATAATATTTCATGGGGGTCTATACCAACTTCTATGTAAATAAAAAATTCTACTAATTCATTAGTATGTTTTACTTCAGGGAAATAAAGTACTATACCATCCTACTTGCAGTGTTCTTTCTCCATCAAGATGAAAGATCCCATCTACCACACACAGCTGTGGCCATCCTGGCTCACTTCCATAAGCAGACAGCAAATGCATGCTGGGCTGACCCAACCCCTGACAGCACACTGGCAATATCTGGAGGAAATGAATGTTTTTCTGAACTTCAGTACTTCTCTGGCAGACACAAGTGAAGTGGTGGGCCAGGGCTGCCCCTTTCCTTATTACCAAATCTAAGAAGCGTTTGCATCACTGCACAACATACTCACCAAGATGGTTTTCTGACAGGTAAGAGAGGACCACTGCATCACAATGGTAGCGAATACCTCTTTGGAAATTCCCACTAAAGCACTTACAACTGTTGGTTACATTACATGGATAAACAATTTCATCAATGTAGGTGTTTTAAAGGAATACCTAGAAAATTGAGTGACAATTTTTGGGGCTATAATTGCTTTTTTAATATATTTTGTATTAGCTAATCAAACCCTAACCTGGTAAGGCTCTCTGATGAATATTCCATTTAAAGCAGCCAAGGCCAGGCAGCCTGAAGATGACATGATGGAGTTTGGGCACATGATTGCTTGTAGGTTCCACAGCTCTTTTCTGTAGCACATTAAAATAAACGAGCTACTGCCCTTGTAATGTCTTTTTCATAACTTTTTATTTACTTTATTTTTGGTGCTAGTACTGGGGCTTGAACTCAGGACCTGGGCATTGTCCTTTAGCTTTTTCACTCAAAGTTGGTGCTTTAACACTTGATGGCTTGTTGGTGGTTAACTGGAGATGAGAGTCTCACAGTCTTTCCTGCTCAGGCCGGCTTTGAAATGTGAACATCAGATCTCAGCCTCCTGAGCAGCTAGGATTATAGACATGAGCCACCAGCGTCCAGTTTTTAAAACTTCTTAATGAAACACAATTTCCCGTATACAATTTTTGCCAAATCTACTTTTCAAGAAACTGTCACTTAAACATACACCAACAGAAAAGGGCAACCTAGGAAATTGAGAAAAGCAAAGCTCTTATGAATTCTAACTTTCTCAATAGTTTTACTTCACTTTATCTTTTTTGTCAAAATATTTTAACTTCTTTTTCTATAGAAAATAATAAGCTGGAAGTCCTATATATGGGGGGAACTTCTAGCCCATCAGAATTTTGTGCAAATATTTCAAGTCCATTATTCCAGTCCATTATTCGGATATTAGCAGAAAGTCAATAAATATAAATATTACAATAGTGACTTAATTTAATATAGATGCTGTGGAACCTTGAAACAGCTATGATAGATCCATAGGCCTAGACTAGGTTTCAAACCTGAACAGCCAGCAAAACTCTAGCACCAACACAGGATACAAGCGGATACACCTTCGGCATAGGTTTCAAGGTGTATCTCAAACTCTCCAAATATGTACACAGTACAAGCACAAATGGCATATGTATGTGACAAAAACAAGATGTCAACCTGACAGACCAGCAGTTTATACATATATACTATTGAACATTGTCAGCCTAGGGAATTTGTCTGGTAAATGAATAAACAGTTAAGACTAGCTTGCTGATCCTAGGTAAGAAGAAATAAAGCTGACATCAAGTTCCCATTAAAAGCCGGATCTTTATTCATCACAAAGCTTTTGCATAGACCTTTCAAATATACAAAACACTGGCCATAACTCTGCTTACAGACTATCATCTTCCATTATCACCATGCTGTAAGCTAAAATAGTAGCCATCGTGGACTGAGGCGGGGTTCTGATAACCAGTCAATACGGAGACAGGACTAAGTCAGCAAAGCACGTGTCTTGCCTGCTAAGAGTGGACAGCACAGGCAGATGTTACAGTGGCCCTCTGAGATGGGCAGGCAGACCTGAGACAAGTGTGCTCGAATGGTACTACTTGAACCAAGATATAAAATGGATCAGCCAAAGGAGTAGAAGCTTCCACATTTTAATTTTAAGGTTTTCGCAAGCTTTCAACGGAACCTCCAACGTGGTGGCACACAGCACATAAAGCTATTACAGAACAGACTGCTGTTAAAAACACAAACTGGCAGACATTGGCTATGTGCTTAATGTATCTTTGGTTTAGGAAGACGAGAATATCGATTAGAGGCCGAAGGATCCCCAGAATGCAAACTGCCACTTGGATTCGGCATGATTTCTTTGTGCCTTGCCAGTGGCCTGGGGATGCTGGTCTTGGCCTGCAAGCTTTGAGGCTCGAGGCGGGGGCTGCTTATTTGTTTCTGTCTGAAAGAGCTGGAAGGAGGGCGGAGCTTAGATGCTTTCAGATTCGGATTATTTGCAAGATTTGTTTGACTAGATGTGGGCTGAAGCTTTGCTGAATGAGCTGTGATGATGGGTGGCTTATTACAACCGAGAGTCCTACTTGCAGATGATTCATTGTCTGGAGGAGGTGCCGAAGAACTCAAGACGGGTGGCTTTAGAAGATGTGAGGACTTGGGCTGAGACAAGTAGCCAACCAGTGGAGACGGATCTCTTCCAACTTTCTTAGCCTGCTCTGCTGTACTCGTCTGGCGAGGTGTGGGAAGAGAAGTGGGTCTAAACTGCATCTCACCAATTATTTGATTCTTTGCCAAATGAGAAGGCTCTTCAGCACTCACGGTCATGGTCAAATTTGAGTCAGATATACTTTTTGCCACATCCATCCTGACGTGTGGGCTTAAGGAAACAGGCCGGTCTTCCATATCATAGTTGTTTTCTTGTAAGCCACATGGAAAGCTTCCATCGGGATGTGCAGCACCTTGATGCACACCCTGGCCTGCACATTCACTGTGGGCCTCGATACGTTGTGGCCTTGTTAGTTTTCCCTGGGCGTGGTCTGTGGGTCTGGGAAGGCTGCTGGAAGGCTGTAGTACTTGAGGCTGTTGAGATTAAAAGCAACATTATTAACCATGTAGCTCAGAAAAGTACTCATTATTAATGTAAGCGAAGTTGGAAGTAGGCTGAGTATGCTTTAATATGGAAAGCATGTGGGGCATTTAAAACATACAAAAATGAATTGCAATATTCAAGCAATCTTATGACATATATATATATAAGTGGTAGTGCAAACAAAAAATGATACAAGCAATACACACTCAACATGATCTGAAAAAAAGGGGGGGGTGAAAGAAAAGAAAGCTTTAAAGTTCCAACTCATAGGAAACATTCTTGCCTTAGTACTTTCATTAAGTATTTACAACCTTATCTACAAGAAAGCCTGAGAATAATTTCTATAACACTTTAATTTAATCTCCATAAGCAGTGCTCTTGGGATTATCACCCATCTTAAAGGTCTTTTTATGTTGTATGCCAAACTACCAAGTGTATCTCTGTGACAAATTAAAATTAGCAGCTAATAAAAGGTTTAAAGGTCATACTGTCACATTTCATGACATCCTTAATTGCATGAAATTCATTCATTTAGCTAATGCTAGCCTACCTTTAATACTGTTGAAGTTGTCCCATTTCATTGCCATTATGGCTTAGATACGAAAAACACATATTTAGTAAAATTTAAAATGATCAACCTTGAGCCAGGCACTGATGACTCATGCCTGTAATTCTAGCTATTCAAAAGGTTAAGATTGAAGATAGCAGTTTGAGTCCAGCCCAGGCAGAAAAGTCCTTGAGACTCCTATCTCCAATTAACTATCAAAAAAACCAGAAGTGGAGGCTCAAGAGGTAAGTTGCCATCATTGAGTAAAAAAGCCAAGTAAGAGTCAGAGGCTCTGAGTTGAGGCCCCGAGTTAAAGCCCTAGTATCAGCACATGCAAGCACACACGCGGGCAAGCATATACACACACACACACACACACACACACACACACAAGATCAGCCTGGGGGGGTGTATGTAGCTATGCAGTAAAGTGCGTGCTTAGCATGTACAAAATTCTGGATTCAATCCCTAACACTGCCCTTCCAAACACAAAACAAAAACACAACAGTAACATTCTTAAGGCCTCATAGGTCCTTCTGATGTTTACTGTATGGTTACACCTTGCCCCCTTCCTCCGCTCCCAAATCGGAGGAAATATGTGCAACCTTTATTACTTTGGCACACACAGGAAAAATAAAAATAAAAAGGATCTTATGGCCCAATAAATTAAAATATATGGGGCAGGGCTGAGTGCACCTGTCTTGAACCAGTTTCTCTTTTACCTATGCTTTCTATTAGATAATGAAGGCTAACATGTCGAGTTTGGAAAGGGGCTTTGAAATATGAACTTTTAATGACTGTGTTTTACTAATAAAATAACTTTATTATGAACAATAGTACAATTATTAGCATTAATATAAGTAATAATATAATAATTTGTGCTAATCTATAAATAAACCCACAGTTGCCTGTGAAAGGGTGGGCAATCTTATTGCTTCATTTGGGTTCTTTCTTCTCTAAGACCAGCACTGGGAAGTGACTGCAATGGGGGCAGTCAGGGCTTAGACTGAGGAACATCAGGAGTGACTGATAACAGGTTCATAACTGAGGATGGATAATTGGAGGCAATGCTGCAGTAGGAGTGACTTGTTAGTTTAATAAATAATAATAATAGGCAATGTCTACTGAGAATTCTTTATACAGATAAGTGGCATTAAATTCTATCGCATAATGTCTGGCATAGATAAGCCAACTTAATTATTGCCTGAAGTTATAGGTCCCAGATTTAAAGGCACTTGGCATTTTCACAACCCTTTACCACAGAGATGAATAAAATGTGGAAGGCTCTAAAATAAAATCAATGCTAATTGATTCAATAGATTCTCCTTGAAGTTCCCCTAGGTAAAAAAAATAATCATGCAAAAGTGATTAAAAAAAAACTTTAGAAAAGTGTGTGGAAAAATAGTGCTAGGTCATATTAAGGAATGATAATACACCACAGGGCGTGGGAAGGGCGTAGGGGAGGAGGAGATGGCACAAAATTCCTGATGGCATGGAGACATCTCCTGTTGCACCTCCTCTCACCTGCGAACACATAAGGAAGGTATTCTCATCCCAAATTGAAAACTCTTGATGTATTTTATGACTGGAAAAATTATCAATTTAAAAAGTAATTCTGTTGTAATCTCACTGTTTCCAGTAGAGACAAAAAAGAATGGACATGTGCTATCACTCAGAACATCAAAACGTTATATCTTTTCTAATTGCACAGACTGCTCTCCAGAAAGAGCTGTTGGGACCTGGAGTAAGCGGTCCAGATACACTACTGTGTTACTGCACTGTGAGGCTGATGCCTCCTTCACCACACACACTGATGAACCCTAGGCCAAGGTAGAAAGCAGTGCTGCTTGTATGGCTGAGAAAGCTCCATCCCAATACAATAGGAAATGACCAGGTTTTTAAGAATAGAATGCTGAGTCTTTTACTCAGAAGGAGTTACCCTGAACAGCTGAATAAAGGAAAGTCTCAATTATCATTTAATTACAGTAATCATATTGGTTTTTTTTTCTCAAATCAGTGACTGCTAAATCCAGGTAGGTTTTGCAATTTATTAAAAATTATTTTTAGTGGTAGGATACAATTTTTCTCTACCCTCAATTAAGTGCCATATTTATTTGAAAGCTATAGTTTGATAAGTTAATTTAAATTTAATTAAATTAAGATGGTCTGTTTTCAGTAAGAATGGGAAGTAACACTACAAGACAAGAGGACTGAGGGGACAATGCTCCTGGTAGATGGAGGACAGCACATGGGGGTTATCTCCACACAGGACAATGACGCCCTGCAGCTGAGCTAAGTGCTGTGGAGCACCTGCTGTCAAGGGGGCAATGGCAAGCTACTCTTCATCATTGGCCGGCCAGGCAGATGCACTCGGATAGGAACTCACTTTCTAAGTTCCAAACACGTACACAAGATTTAATTCACACTGAATGCAACTGTTACTGCACCAAATGCCATAAAATAGGCCCCTGATATCTTTAGAATGAATCTATTTATTTTTAAAATGCATTCCTTTTTAATTTTTTTAAAATTATGTGTTTGTTATATTTAAACAGTTGTACAAAGGGTGACAATTCAACGTGTCAGTTGACAATTTACAGGGTATATTTAGGATGCATGTTTTCATGGCTAATAGAACTAGTGGAAAGGAATGCAGAAGACTGAAATGCCTATTGTGTGTCATACGCCACGCCAGGCACCGGGAACCTGGGGACACACAGTCAGCTTAATGACCTTCCTGAGAGCTGGTCAAATGAACAAGGAAGGAAACCACATCTTAGGCCTTACAGCATAAAGGAACACAAAAGAAAATGTGAGTGGGACTAGAGAGGTCATCAAAGGCATCCCCAAACTGTAAAAAATCTGCCCCAATTTAGCAGCCTTCCAGACCCAGAGGAACACCTCTGTCACTGGGAACTGTGGGAGATGCTCTACAGCACTCAATCCCAGCAATCTGGAGCTGAAAACTGAAATGCAACCACAGCTCCAGACTCAAAGTACATGCCTCTCACTGGACATAAGCACCTCTAAGCCTTACTTCTTAGGTCAGATCCATAAACTTCAAAATACTTTTCTGTGAGTTCCCTCATTAAATGTATGCATGTGTCCACGGCAACAGTACCAGCAGCAGGTACTACTATTGGGCTTGAAGGTCACCTGTAATGATAAGCTTAAATGCCAGCTTCGGAGTGTTTACAAAGATAACCAGACCCTGAGCTCCTTACCTGCACTTACTATTCCTTATTAACTTTTGGTGTAGTTGGTACTCCTAACAGCCTAAGAGTCCAATATATATCTGCTATAAAAATTACTAGGGGAGTATTAGTTGTAGATTTAAGAATGGCTTCTTTGGTCATTAATCACCAAAGTGATAGTTTCCTATCAGGTCAAGAAAGGAGTGTTAATGATTGAATAAAAACTAATCATGGAGTGTTAATGATTAAATAAAAACTAATTTAAAATTTGGTAAGACAGGAACTATAGTACATGCCTGTAATCCCAGCTATGCAAGGGACAGAGATGGAAGAATAATGGTTTAAAGTCAGGCTAGGCAAAAAAGTTAGCCAAAGCCTGGTCTCTAAAAACAAGCCAGGCATGGGTGTTTGTGTCTGTAAATTCAGTTATACAAGAGGCAGAGGTAGGAGGACTCAGTCTGAAGTGAGCCTTGGGCAAAAGTACAAACCCTACCTGAAAAATAACCTAAAGCAAAACTGTTTGGGTAAATGGGTCAAGTGGCCAGAGCACTTCCCTAGCAAGCACGAAGACCTGCATTCCAACTCTAGTACTGCCAGAAAAGAAAAAGAAATCTAATGATTCAGTATATTGTTTCCCTAACAGGTTTGGTGTTAATAATTCATGTTTAGAAGGCTAGCAGGAGGGATAATTATGCTAATTTGAACACAAGTACCTGTCATAATGACCTACAAGCTTAGGCTCTAATGGCTTTTATTTAAATAGCCATTTTTAGACTAAGTAGCTGGAAAAAATTACCTGAATAAGCATTCTATTCTTTCCCATTTCTAACAATTAAATATGACTATATGTGTAAAGCATTCAGCACAGGGCCTCCTAGGGTACTGTTAAGTGCTTAGCACATACGATTATGTAGTGGTATAAGAACAAAGAACTCAAAAGTACGGCTGCTTTGTAACAGGGTCTTAGGTAAAAGACAAGATGGTTTAGCAATATAATAAACTAGCTGTTACATGATTTAGGATTTCTAAGCTTCAGTGCATAGTTCAATAATTCCATTTACATCTAAATGTTTTAAATCAACAGTAGCTACAGCTCATACAACAACAGAAGTCAAGATTCCTTTACTGCCTTCCTGGAGAGAACAGGAGCTAGGATGTGCATCGTACTCTGAAGTTGACAGTCTCTCACAGTACTAACATCACATGTGTGGGCTGTATATCAATTCCTTAGTATTAATCAGACAATAGA